CAGTATTTCCTTCCTTTTAAAGGATGAATAATATTTTATAGTATGTATATAGCACATTTTTTTAATTCATTCATCTATCATCAGATACAAGCTGTTTCCACCTTTTGGCTACTGTGAATAATGCTACTATGAACACTGATGTACACACATCTAATAGAGTCCCTGTTTTCAATTCCCTGGGGCAGATTCAGTAATGGAATTGCTGGATCATATGGTAATTCTATGTTTTCTACAGAGGTCACACAAGTTTACATTCCTACCAGGAAATACACACAGATTCTATCCTCACCAACCATTGTTTTTGGATTATTTGTTGATAATAACCATCCTAATGGGTATGTCTTCCAAAATTATAAAGTTTGATTTTCAGAGTTACATATTCATTTGGTATACGTTCTTGTATACAGAATAAGGTAAGAATCTAATTATTACTTTACTCCCCTTCCCCCCTATATAGAAAGCCCCTTGCTTCAGCATCATTTAATGAACAGGCCTCTCCTTTCCTACTAATTTTTTTTTAATATATTTTTATTGATTTTTTACAGAAAGGAAGGGAGAGAGAGAGAGAGCTAGAAACGTCGATGAGAAACATTGACCAGCTGCCTCTTGCACATCCCCCACAGGGGATGTGCCCACAACCAAGGTACATGCCCTTGACCGGAATCGAACCCGGGACCTTTCAGTCCGCAGACTGACGCTCTACCACTGAGCCAAACCGGTTTCGGCTAATTTTTAATACCATTTCTAACATAAATTAATTTCCCCTATATGCATACACCTATTTCTGGGCTTTCAATTTAATTATACTGATCTACTTAGCTATCACTATATCAATATAACACTCCTTGAGTCACAAAAATTAACATATCTTTTGATATTTGGTAAAGCAAGTTTCATTTTCATTTCTAAGAATTTCTTTACTATTCTTGGATTGTTTTATCCTATATGAATTTTAGAATTAGTTTTATAATTCCAAGAAAATTCTAGTTGGCATTTTTATTGGAACTCCATTGAATTTATGATTAATTAGAGGAAATTATAATGTGATATTAAGATTCCTTATACATAAAAATGTTATTTATTTATTCTAGCCATTTCCCATTGCTATGCTAAATTAATCCTTCCTTATAAAATACTAGATCCAATCCTAAAAGACAAATAACTGAAAGACTATGTTTCATCCAAGACCCATAATAGGAAATCAAAAATATGGTTATTATATACACAAACCCAAATACTGTATGGATTTGTGAGTTATAATAAAATAGATCATTTCCAATTGATGAAGTTACTTTTTAAAATTAATTGTCACCTGAAAAAATCCTTCCAAATGTAGCTTATACCTTACCATTTTCAGAAAGCCTTCTCTGAAGGCACCATAATGAAGAACTAGGAAAAAAGTACCATAATAAAGCAAATGAAGAGAGTTTTAAGAAAGACATTGTAATCTGCCTGGTGTGGCTCAGCAGTTGAGCGTCGACCTAGGTCACGGTTTGATTCCCAGTTAGGGCACAGCCAGTCATTGGTTCTCTCTCATCATTGATGTTTCTATCTATCTATCCTTCTCCTTTCCTCACTCTTTAAAAATCAATAAAAACAAAAAAGAAAGACATTTTGAACAGTGTGGAATATTGAAGTCTAGTTAAAAGAGAACTAAAAGTAGGCAAATAGACTTGGCAATTTAAACAATTACAGTACAGTAATGGAGGAGGTCAGAATATAATCTCAGGAAGAGTCAATGGAGATAAGGAAGTAAAATATGTGAGTATAAGCTATTATCTCAGAAATTCTAGAAATGGAAGAAAAGGTTTAATGGCAGGATGCAGTGAAGTTTTGTGTTTTGTTTTTGTTTTTAATGTGCCTCAAGCATGAAACAGCTCTGGCCACCGACACAGGTAACAGCTAGGATGAACTAAGGACTGTATATCTGGCTTTGCCCGATTAATATAAGAGCAACACCACCCATCAGAAATCTCTTGCCCATTGCCAGGGGATTGGAAAGTTTTGTTTATAGAATACAGGAGAGTTAAATATCTTTGTAGGCAGAGAAGAGGGGGTGGTCAATGGAGCAAGGTTTCAAGAAAGTATAGGATCAGAGAATAAGCTAAAGGACCACACACGGAAAAAGAGAAAGGATACTTCTATTCAGAGATAGGTAAGAATTCTAGAATAGATGAAGAACCCTACTCTGCTCATTCCCATGTTTTAAAGGGGCCATCTGCAAACTTATCAGCAAGTTTTGTGGAAAACTATTATGAGGAAATCCTACCTTTTCAATTAAATGGTAAGATAGTAACATTCTCTACTGATTTTTGGAGGATAAAACAACTTATGTCTCCTTTCCTGTTTTTATTGGCTGCTATGCATTAGCAAATGGCAAGAGTGGCTATTATCAATCTAAAGATCTTTGACTTCTTATTAAAAAAACACACAATACAAACCCTTTGCACTCCGAACCATTCTGGACATTGGCTACCAGCTACTCCAAGCCATTCTGGACATTGGCTACCAGCTACTCCAAACCATTCTGGACATTGGCTACCAGCTACTCGACGCTATTTTGCGAAACGTGCGTTGAATTAACTCAATTCCCCGTAATCACTAATAAACTGCAATGTCCCCTGAGAGGGGACAGCGGAGTGCAAAGGGTTAATATTTCATTCCTATTTACTAAAAGATAATGCACTTAACATTTCACGTTGTAGAAGTAACATAGTAAGTATATGACAAATTAGTCTAGAACAAACATGTCAAACTCAAAGGCTAATATGGGCCAAATAAATGACGCATGTGGCTCAGGAGTCACAAGTTTGACATGCTTGATCTAGAATAAGAGTAAAATGAAATTTTTGGGAAAAGTTTTTGATAAAAGAAATGTAACAGAAGAACCCCCCAAAATTATTTCCTTGATAGTTTGTCATCTAATTGGCCAGATGAAAAGCATACATGAAATGACAGATTCTTAACTAATGTATTAAGTTCAAATAAGAAAAAACTGAGGACCCAAGGGCTTGATTAAATGATCACAAAGCAAAGAGAGGTTATTGAACAACACAGTTTTCCACTTAATGCAAAAGTTTGGTGGTCACTGACATATGATTGTAGCTCAATTTGTGGTCAGTAACACCATTATTTCACATCCAATAATTTCCCAACACAAGATACATAATCTATTGCATTTAATGTTCAAGGAAAGTCACTTTGATATTTAAATTTGATACAACTTCCCTTAAGTATTCTACTAAGGCAACATTCTTACCTATAATTTGCAGGTGAATTTGTAGTACTTATACACCACCTCGCTCATTTCTGACAATTGTGTATGTCTCAACATTGTTATTGTTAATAGCAGAAAAATTTAGGGAAATTCTAGAAGCTATCTAGAATGTTTAAAAAAGTACAGAAGCAACTTTGGAGAGTCAACTTCAGAGATGCTTAGGCCTGTTAAAAAAATGGATTTCGTCTTAACAGGCTGATAATAGAGAAACATGAGAATGTTTAAAACTAACAAAACTATAAAAAGTAACCAAAGGCTATGCAAGGATGCAATATAGAATCACAAAATGATTTCAATTATCTAAAAATGTCATAAACCATGATAGATCTAATCAAATCATTGTTGAAAAATTGCCTCTAAAACACTGAAAATTTCATGAAATTTCAAGCACAAGTGTTTCTTACACAAAATAACTACTTTGTATGAAGGAAGACAGTCATCAATAATATATAGAAATAAGGTAGAGATACTAAAGGTGGATTATAAAAATATTCCACCAAAATAAAACAATCCATTACTTAAAAGGAAGGAACAACACATAGTCATCCCTCTTGCTAACAGAGGACTGAAAAGATAATTAGTGTAGAACTCAAAAGAGGTAGAAATTTCTTCTTTAACTGTAAGTAGATAGAATACCCTGAAACAGAAATCTATGAAGAGGTCATTTGTCCATCAGCATGGAACAACACAAATAATAATTAAAATAACCAAAAATGCACTTAATTTTAATAAGAATGTAAAAAAAAATCTGTACCAGATTTAAAGTAAAAAAAGGTATTACTTACCAATTCATCCATATATCATAATTACTAACAAGAATTTATTAGTCTTAAAATTATAAATACCAATGTTCTAGAGATCAGTTTTCTGGATCTTACCAATAGTAGGCCATGTTTACTTTTTCACGTGTTACATTGTAAACCCCCAAACTAGGTATTTTTTTTAATGTATTTTTTTATTGATTTTTTACAGAGAGGAAGAGAGAGGGATAAAGAGTTATAAACATCAATGAGAGAGAGTCATCTATCAGCTGCCTCCTGCACACCCCCCACTGGGGATGTACCTGCAACCAAGGTACATGCCCTTCACCGCAATCGAACCTGGGACCCTTCAGTCCGCAAGTCGACGCTCTATCCACTGAGCCAAACCGGTTTCAGCCTCAAACTAGGTATTTTGAGTCCTTTTTTACTAAAAGGCAAGTTTGATAATCTCACATATCCCCAAATATTAAATCAAAGCAAACAGAGAACATTCTTATTACTAGGCAAAAACTAAATTAAAATAATAGAAAATGGCCGAGACCGGTTTGGCTCAATGGATAGAGCGTCGGCTTGGGGACTGAAGGGTCCCGGGTTCGATTCCGGTCAAGGGCATGTACCTTGGTTGCGGGCATATCCCCAGTAGGGGGTGTGCAAGAGGCAGCTGATCGATGACTCTCTCTCATCGATGTTTCTAACTCTGTATCTCTCTCCCTTCCTCTCTGTACAAAATCAATAAAAATATATTTAAAAAAAAATAAATAAATAAAATAAAATAAAATAAAATAATAGAAAATGTACTCCACATGTTACTTAGTATTGAAATACAGCAACCAGGTAAGGTAAGCTTCTTACCATAATGTTACCTATGAGGTGATTTTCTTGGGAGTGATTTCTTTCTCTGGATAACTAGAAAAAAACTTGCAGTTTACACACAAAGAAATACTGAGAGTCTGTGTACTAACCTGGCCCAGTCCAGGCATACCTCCTCCAAGTCTAAGAAGTCTGTCCATATTTCTAGAAAACAGAAACAAAGGAAAACGTTTCTAAGCACAAAAGTGTTTACTCAATTGCTATCTATATAATTCACCTTCAGTCACTCAGTATGTCAAAAATATTGGTGGTAATTACAACACAACATCAGACTTCCTGTTAATTAACACCACATATTAATTCAAGAAGCTGTCTTCCATGCTAATTAACAGACCTTATTTTACTGCTTTGGTTTTGGGTTATCCCCAGTTTTAAAGACAAGCAATCCTAGAATAATTTCAAAACTTTGCTATCATTAAGTTAATTATATTTTTTATTGTTATCTAATAAAAGTACCTGAATAAGGAAAAAGTGCCTGAAATGCTTATATGTATGACTGAATTTCCTCCCATTTGTCCAGAGTGTACAAATAAAAATCCCCACTTTTAAAATTAAATTTTAACATCCTCATTAGTAAGTTCTGTGCTAATTAACTTACAGCTTGTCAGTTATCATCAAAACTACATGTGAAAGACATTGTGAGCAGATTATGGATCACTGAATTAGCATCAAAGGCTTTTGAAAAATGAACTCATTATACTAAAAATATTAAAAATAAACATTAAATGCAGTAAGATAGTGTTTTACAGCATACACAGATGTTTTGTGTTATTTCAGATATTGTGGAGATATGTCCTTTTTTGCTAAGGATATTCAGCTGCTGTTCTCAATTATAATCTTAGAGTTAATCAATATAGAGAGGATTAACTGAAATATCAATCTGATTTTTTTTAATGTCTGGAATAACTACAGAAGACATTCTGATATGCCTAGAAATTTCACACAAAAAACTGAAAGGAAAAAAAAAAAAAAAAAAGCAAGGCCTCAAATACACAAAAAGGAGTAATCAAGTTATACAAATTCATATCCAGTACCATTAAATATTTAAAGATGAGAATAAACCATTTTTTCTACTTGCAAATATACCTTACAATTTCTCTTCTTCTTTGCTTTAGAAAATGGTATTAATACAAATATATGTTAAATGCTAAAAGATTCATTTAGTCATTTGTCCCTATAATTTTACTAGTTAAAAGTGCTATACAAGTTGAAATGCAGTAATATACTTATGGCCCTGTGGCTCAATTGGTTCCATAAACTGAGAGGTTGTTAGTTGATTCCAAGTCGAGGCAATGCCCAGGTTTGGGGCTTGATCCCCAATAGAGGGCCTGCAGGAGGCAGTCAATCCATGTTTCTCTCTCTCCCTCTCCCTTCTTCTCTCTCTAAAATCAATAAAAACATATTAAAAATAAAATAATGTACTTAACAAGCATTACTTTGTTGCTTAATCAAGTTTGTTGAATCCTAACAATGTAATCATAAGACTTTCTCTATATAAAAGGCTAATATGCAAAGTGTCCCCACGGGAGTTTGACCGGGAGACCAGGCGTTCTATCACTCGCTATGATGTGTGCTGACCACTGGGGGATGGTGCGGAAGGAAGGAAGGCCACAGAAGCACAGAGCCAGGGAAAGGAGGACGCAGCTGGAAGGCCCCAATTGGCCCTAATCACTAACCAGGCCTAAGGACCTACCTGGGCACCAATTTTGTGCACTGGGCCTCTAGTATTTAATAATATAAGCACAGCAAACTTTACTCAAGTCCATATATAGGACAATGCAAACTTACTCAAGTCCACATATAGAACACATAAATGAGTAAATCGGAATTTTCACAAAGTAACCACACTCCCATAATCAGGGATAGGGAACATCTGGCCATATAAGGCCTGAGAAATCATTTGGTCTGGCCCTGTTAAGGCATTAGGGATAAGTTAATTAAACGTTTAGCAGGCTAATTTTTAAGTTGAAAATTTTGTATGGTCTTCGAATGATGTTATAAATTTCCAAATGGCTCTTGGCAGAAAAAAGGTTCCCCACTCCTGACCTAGATGAAGGAACAGGTGATTATCAGCACCTAAGAACACTTCTCTTGACGCCTTCCCAGTCTCTACCACCTCACAAAGTAGAATTCCAACTTCTAAAAGCATAAACTAGTTCTGCTATTTTTGAATTCTATAGAAATTAAATCATATATTTTAGTATCCAGCTTTCACTGCACAAGTTTGTGAGATTCACAACAAATAAAAAACTCCTTTAAAAAAATGAAAAGGCATATATGAAAACTTGATAGCCCAGACAAATTTCTGCTTCACAACCTTAACTCATACTCCTAATGGCAACATTTACAAATAAAATCTCCATCAAATTCTCATTAAAAATTTTAAACTCAAATCTGACACTCAATATAGAGCATTTTTAAAAAGGCTATGGATGGAGGAAAAAACACCTAAATATTTTAAAATATAAAAGACATTTCTCTAAAATATATTATCAAAGGACTTTTTTTTGACAATTTCAAGCTTACAAACTTAAATGTAAATGGGAAGAAAAGAAAAAAAAAAAAAAGTAGCAACACGCCTGGGCTGGGTGGCTCAGTTGGTTGGAGTGTTATCCCATATACCCAAAGGTTATGGGTTTGATTCCCGGTCAGGTCACATATAGGTTTTGGGCTTGATCCCCAGGAGGCAACCAAGCAATGTTTCTGTCACATGGATATTTATCTCTTTCTCTCCGCCACCCCTTTTCCTCAAACATATCCTTGAGTGAGGATTTAAAAAACAAAAAACAAAAAACAACTAACAACATAGAATATACTCTAGATATTCCAGGCCAAAGTCGATTCCCAGCTGTGTTCAGTTTATCTATTCCCCATGTTGTTTCTGATGGCTTTACACAGACTCCAGATGCTGTGAATATACATGAGCAATGTGGGGAGCAGAGGGAAAGAAAATCTGGCAGGTTAAATTTGTGTTTTGAGCAAAATTAGATGTCTCAGCAAACAGGAAATAATAGTTAACAAACTAAAACATTTAAGATAAGATAATCAGATCTAAAAATATACCAACATTTGGAAATGAAAAATATTGATAAACGTTTAATTCACACCACTATTTTTAAGTTTATAGAAAACAAACTAAAACAAAAATGCTTTCATGAACCCTTAAATCTGATTATCTGATTTATAATTTGATATGTGTTAAAAATGATATTTTTCAAAACATTCTTATGTCATTTCCTAAAAGAATATGTAAAAGTAAAATCCATTCTTAATTCTCACCTGGTCAGTAACTACAACTCCTGTGGTGTTAAGCTTCAATTTGTTGACTTTGACAAGTTTCTTCTTAAGTCAAGCTATTGCTAATACTGGCAGTTATGATTTTTTTTTTGAAGTATTTTTTTTCTCTCTCCTAAAAAAAAAAAAAAAAAAAAGTAAATGAAATGATATAATTTCGAGAACTAAAAAGGAAAATATAAGCGCTTTATGAGAAGCAAAATTACAAAAATGAAATAGAAATTAAATTTTTAATTACTATTTCCAGAAGGTATGTAATATCATTCTGGATAGCTAGAGAGCATAATGATTAATCCTATATCAAAATTTTGTTTCTAAGGTTTTTTTTTTAAATTATATTTTTTAATAACTTTATTGTTGACATTATTACAGATGTCCCCATTCACCCCCAACCCCTGCCCACCTTCACCTATTCCCTTTTCCCCCTTTCCTCTGGCCATCATCACACAGTTGTCTGTGTCCATGGATTATACATATATGCTCTTTGGCTAATCTCTTCACCTTTTTTTTTTTCCAGTCCCCCAATTCTCCTCCCCTCTGAAAGCTGTCAGTCTATTTCATGTATCCATGCCTCTGGTTTTATTTTGTTCATTAGATTCCACACATAAGTGAGATTACATTGTAATTGTCTTTCTCTGACTAACTTATTTTACTTAGCATTATAATCTCCAAGTCCATCCACAGTGTTGAAAAAGGTAAGAGTTCCTTCTTTTTTTCAAAATGCATATTCCAGGGCCTTACCTCAGGCCCACTGCAACTTTTTTCCCCCAATATATTTTTATTATATTTTAAAATTGTCGATAGTGCGCCTGGAGGTCCAGGCAAGCCTCAGATAGTGGCTGCCCAGTGCTCAGAGCCACCTAAGGCTCAGGTAACCAGGGCCAGCCAAGGCTTGCGCTGCCGGCAGTGGCAGCAGCAGAGCTGTGATGGGGGCGTCGCCTTCACCTGATCATCAGGTCGCCTCCCACCCTGAGGGCTCCTGGACTGTGAGAGGGGGCAGGCCTGGCTGAGGGACCCCCTCCCCCATCAGTGCATGAATTTTTATGCACTGGGCCTCTAGTAAGACAATAAAACTGATGGTATAAGCTTGTGAGTTATCAGCCAAATCTGGTTTGGCTCAGTGGACAGAACGTCGGTTTGCAGACTCAAGGGTCCCAGGTTCGATTCCAGTCAAGAGCATGTACCTTGGTTGCGGGAATATCCCCAGAAGAGGGTGTGCAGGAGGCAGCTGATCAATATTTATCTCTCATTGATGTTTCTAACTCTCTATCCCTCTCCCTTCCTCTCTGTAAAAAAAATCAATAAAATATATATATTTTTTAAAAGAACTTTATCACATACCATTTTATAAGAACCTGTTTAGCTAATAAAATGTATATTCTTTTACCTTTTTAAAAATATATTTTTGTACTGATTTCAAAGAGAAAGAGAAGTTAGAAACATCAATGATGGGATCACTGATCAGCCCTCCTACATCACCCTTATTGGGGATTGAGCCTGCAATCCAGGCATGTGCCCTGATCAGGAACCAAACTGTGACCTCTTGAGCTCTTTGACCTTTTATGATGTTGATACAGTTCATATGTGAACAAATGCTGATGTGTAACACAAAGGTGATTGAAAGGAAATAGATAACGTACTAATGGAAATAAATGATTGGACTAACTCTAATAGGTGTTTACATATCTGAAAATAAAAATGTTTTGCAAGCAAAGATGATGACCATTCTCTCTTCCACCAAATTAAGACTTTCAATATTTGATTTCAAAAGTATTGCAATGAGGAAGATGAAAATTTCTGGAGATGGTAGTGATGATTGCACAACAAAGTGAATGTACTTAATGCC